TTGGATGCTGAAAATAATGTTTGCGTCTCTATTGAACGACAGCAGAATAATTAAAGCGTTCACATCCGACGTTGAGACGTGTAATCAATTCCAATAGGCAAATTTAATTCGACGCCCTTCGCTTGAAGAAATCTTCTAGAAAATTGCACTAATGAAGCTATTTATAGTAAATATCAGATCAAAACAGAGATGAACAGATCATTAGCCGGTTGCTAAGTTCGACAAATTTGATATACACCCCTCATCGCAGTCACTGGATTCATATTTTAACTTAAATGAAATGATTCCAATTAAACTTTAAAATCCAATCGTCCAAATTAATGATTTATTCAGATGAACGCATAAAAGAGGCTTTCCGTTACACTACATCGCAATTTATTTTGAATAATGATTTCCAAAATGGATTCCAATTCGTTTGTTATTTTTGATGAATCGGCAACTTGAATGATGGATGATAAATGAGATACTTTAAAGGATGTTATCTTGACGCCGGCTACCCATCAGCCACAGAGGAAAAAAATTGAGCAAACAAATCCAACGGAATCATTCAAGAATTTTCTGTTTATTGCGCGGAACATTTCACCTCCTTTGCAGAAGAAAAAATTATCTCTTCAACGGGAAAGAAGAGGAGCACAGGGAAAATACAGCGTGGATAAATCGAGACTCTTCTGAAAAGTGTTAATGTTTCATTGAAAAAAAAACAACATCGAAAACTGTTCGTTACTTGAGTTTTTGAGTGCTGCCCATTGCGATGGATTTCTTGTCATAATGCAGTTTATATGGTTGCCGTTGAAATGAACAAATTGAAACAAGTTTTATTCATGATAATCCGGTCTGATGAGCACCACTTTACCACTTGAATAAAAGATTGCAAATTGTTAGCAATCCCAGACTACACACACTCAAGAAAAATCCAACCCCTGAACTTGTTTATTTTCTCGTCTTGCTTTTCACTTCCCACCATAATGTGAAAACCATGGAATTGAAATTTGTTTGTTATTATTGTGCTATGATGGCGATGTCTTGTAAAGTCAAATGTTATGGTTGGCAAAATGATTTCTGATGCTGTTGTAAAACTGCGTTGGCATTTATGTTGAATATTCCACAACAGGAGAATGTCTTGTGATGACAGTTTGATGCACGTGTGTACTGTACATCCGACAGTTGAAATTGATCTGTAGCCTACGCAAATGCCAATAGAAATAAGATGCTGTTCCATTTTCCATTGATTCTAAATATTTGCATGGCGTGTTCGTTCGATAGACGACTCCCCTATATTTTCTGTCAATTCATTGACCCTAATAAGAAATGCTTTCATCCCACTCAAATTCGCAACAATGGGCTATAATTAAGCACACGCGATGCGATACAACGACTACGACGACAAAACCAATACCAGACGGCGTCTGGCAGACGCAAACGCAAACGCAAACGCATCAAATTAAAAGTTTGTTCGCTTCGCCGTTCAATCAATTTGAAAACCAATGATGACAACCGAGGTAAATCTTTCTTTAGGTTTGAGTGATGCTCAAAACCGGCGAATAAAAAAGGATCCATCCGAATCCAAAATTTCAACAACTCACGCCGAGGTCGATTTGTCTCATTTTGGAATTTTAATCAGTCGAGTGTTTGTAACGGATGTTTCCTTTTTTCAAATAAGATTATATGTGTGCGAGAATACCAGCAGAAATGGCATCCAAAAAATAAGGAGCTTGTACGCATTCCGGAATTGAAGAGAAAACAGGAAAAACAAATTTCATTGTCGATTCAAACGACTCGTTTCACAAAGAAAATGAATAAAGAAGTAATGGCAAACCGACTTACAGGCAATCTTAAATGACATGTAAAATAAAATGATTGTTAAGATACAGTAGGAGTTAGACGAAAAGTAAGAGTCAAGCGTGGAAATCTATTATCTATGGGACGAATTGAAAACCCGGTCAACAACACATGAAACAAAAGATTTGGCGAATTGCGTTGTAATAGGATTAAGCCAACTGAATACCATTTCTCGAAGCGTTTGAGAGACCTCTTTTTCTATTGCCGTCCGGCGCCACGTTTCGTATTACCTTCTCTTTTTTTCAAATTGAAACTATCCTTGAGTAGTGTATGTGCAAACCCACATCAAATATACAGAGCAGATTACAAAACGCCACTTTATCAACACATATGTGCTAAATTATTCGCATTGTGATGAGTTTCTGTTTGACTTTTGAAGCGAGTAGTGCGGAAATGGCACATGCAATTCCTACACACGTTCAACTGATACTCTGAAATGTGAGCAGTTCACATGTCAATGGAAATAATTCTATTCTCAAGTGTCTGCAGGCAGCGTTAAAATAGAAATTATAGGTGGGAAACGACTGACCGATTCGTATTGTTATTGAAAGCATGCGATCTCAAAAATAATTCCATCAATTAATTCGGCTATGATATATATTTCAAATGGTTTTAATATCGGTTTTAATATTCGGTTGCAGCAATGCTTTCAATGATACAGTTCGACAGTTTGGGCTTAATCCGGTACATACGCAAAATACGATGGATTTTTTTTTAATATTCGAAACCCACGAAGTGAGATGTCTCAATTGTATTGTTTCGTTTGCAAACGACATCCCACGTTTGTTATCAGTATTTTGTAGAGATATTTTGATTCAAATCTCCTTCAGAACTGTACACGTATTACGCACACTGAAAATCGATACACTCGCCTCCGTTGTTTGTCGTATGTATTTCGACACTGACTTTTCACCGTGAATGCTTTCAACCGCAGAAAAAAAAACGAGTAAAATGGTTGGCAGTTGATGTTATTATGCACAACACGACCTTCAATTCCAAAGCTTACATTTTTTTTCTATTTTCAACGTTAATATGTGGTATTATTTGACTTCCAAGATATACGAATCGTATACATATATCGAAAATATAGTATGCTTTTTCCTCTTACAATGGATTCGCTTTTCTTTTTGTTAACGCTATTTGGCTCTTGCAAAATAGATTGAGGGCATTGCGATTTACATTCTACACTTGATTGCAAACATTTTTTTTTACTTCTGAAAAAATATGTTGGAAAATCAAAGAATGTGTCCCAAAATAGAATATCAAAATTTGTGTGAACTTGCACAAGACAACAGCGGTCCGTTACTACAAGTCAAAATATTTGATTCCAGAGAAAATTACACAAGGAAATGACTCATTTTGGTTGTGGTTTGTGTGTAAAGCTGGTTACGTTGTCGATGATCGATCGAACTACCATTTCATAAGAGATAACCGAGTTTTCTTTGTGGAAATTAGTGTAAAGCGAGAAAGCTTTTACAACACAGACACACTGATAGTATCAGTCGGTTACACTAATCTTATGCAAAAGTTTCTTTCACGCAATTGCTCGGTTGATGAACATCGCTTATTCATGCTCATATTCATTACTTATGAATAATAACAGACTCCTTCACTCGAATTCTCATTCAATTATCATATTATTTTGGCCAAAATGAAAAGCGAATAAGTTTTACGGTGTTGTTCTATCCACATTGTTCAAACACTTGGAGGGATTTTATAATGTAGTTTCGGTCTCAGAGCACGAATAACCTCTAAATGATGGATGTGTACGATGATTTGTAAATCTATAGTCTATCCTTGGCCAAATCCCTGAGCTATTTGTCATTTATACTGATTTTCTTTTGATTGTTTTCCGTCGCGTCCCCATTTGTTTGGCGTCAGTGGTGCGTTTTTTCGTGGGAAATCAGTGAAAGTTTTGCTTGATTGCTCTGATGCAAGCATAATGTTGCTAATTTTTGCTGTTTTTTTTTTACAATGTGGAACTTTTATTGAACGTGACGTTGTGCACACTGAGATATGTAGTAAAATCGATGTCTAGACCGCACAAAAACACACGCACACACCGAGAACAAACAACATTTCTGCTGAAACAGATGTTTCAGTTTCCATGATGTCAAATCCCGAGACACACAGGCATAGCTAGAGAGAGAGAGAGAGAGAGAGAGAGAGAGAGAGAGAGAGCAATGTGAGAAAAACGATTCACATTCAATAATAAAAAGAAAGAAAAACACCGTTTGATTGGGTCGGTGTGCGACGCAGCAAAAACCTTAATGAAATTTCTTCGAATTTTATGTGAGTGTCTTTGAAATCCATTGCCAAAGCATTTTCTTGTACTTAATGCAATTCAACGGGAGAAAACCAAAACGGTACTCAACATTCAATTTTCGTATTTGTGCAATGTAGCCAATTTGTTGTTGGTGCGTGTGTGCGCTCCAGCTCAAAGCAATCGGTCAAATCGAGTCTATTAGAACTTTCAGTTTACATCTGAATATTTTGTTTGCGTACGGTGGCATTCAAAACACGTAAATACTCGTTTTAGCCGTTGTTGCCCTAATCAATATTTACCCAATTTTTCTCTTCTTCGCTGGACTCTTCACTTCAATGGATCCCTTTTGTTCGTGAGCAAACAACACGTAAATCGCATACACAAACCTTTCTAATTCTTATGTCGGTTTTGTGCTCTTTATGATGTTGCTTTCTTTGCGCCAATTCTTTTTGCTCCAATTTTTGGTGAGCTGTTCTTTGCCAATTTCCAGATCAATTTCTAATGTTCATTTCGTTCAAGCGAAACTCATTAACTTTGAAAATTGTAATTAAATGAACGTTTGCCGAGAAAGTTACGCCAAAAATCATCGCTTGAACCAATTTAAACGATAAAATTCACAAATGATCACATTTCCACACCACACAAACGCAATTGTGACTGCATGAGCCAGTCAAGCTGAAAATTAGTTTTCCCCATCCATATCCAGTGTCGGATATGTATGTGGAGCGTTTTTTGTAGCTTTCCATATATTGGTAATCGATTTGCAATTTTCCAAACAACAATTTTCATCGATATCGACGACTAATTCACGGAACCAATTTATTGCTCATCCAATTAAATACAAAATTATCGCATTTCGCTGATTTCTTTTTTTTTTGCTCCTTTTCTTCCACAGGCGCATACACAACAGGATGAAGAGATGGTTGTCGACGAGCCCATTGACGAAACACAAAGTCATCATCACATGCTAGCCGATGGGCGAATACTACAAACAAACACAAACGATCAAACCGAAATGATACTTACGCCACAGGTCAAATTACCGCTGTCTGGTTCGCGACAAGAGCTGAGTCAACAGCAAGGTCACAATAATCATCATCACAACAATGAACATGAAATCGAACTAAAAGATGTTGTGAAAGAAGGTCATGACAAAGCCGATCCATCCCAGTTCGAGCTGCTTAAAGTACTGGGTGAAGGGTCGTTTGGCAAGGTTTTTCTTGTGCGTAAAATCGTCGGGAGAGATGCAGGTGTATTGTATGCAATGAAAGTGAGTCGATATAGTATATTGATATGAATCATTTTTTTTTCACATGGATTTGTACGTGTTTTAATGCATAGGTGCTGAAAAAAGCAACATTGAAAATCAAAGACCGAGTGCGTAGTACAAACGAACGAAACATATTGGCCGATGTTGGTCATCCGTTTATAGTGCGTCTGCACTACGCGTTTCAAACTCCTGGAAAATTGTACCTCATATTGGACTTTCTGAGAGGCGGCGACTTATTCACAAGGCTGAGCAAAGAGGTGATTTTCAATTTATCATTGCTTCTCTAGAACATAAATTATAATTTATAATGTGTTTCTCATACGATTTGCATGACGATTTTTCATGGAATCTAGGTCATGTTCACTGAAGAAGATGTCAAGATGTATTTGGCCGAACTGGCGTTGGCTTTAAGCCATTTACATTCCCTCGGAATCATCTACCGTGATTTGAAGCCAGAAAATATTTTGCTCGATCAAGATGGACACATTGCATTGACCGATTTTGGTTTGTTTATTTTTATTTAGTTCCTTTCAAAACAGGGTATTTTTGCACCAATTTAGCTACTCTTTTTTAGAGCCTATTATGGAGATTAACATCTTTTTTCTAACTTTCAATGATATTTTTTTTCTTTAATCCTTTTAAGAAATTAATTTTGCTTGCAATCTTCTCAGGTTTATCAAAGCACCCTCTAGATGGATCTAAAACCTATAGTTTTTGTGGTACAGTTGAATACATGGCACCAGAAGTAGTCAATAGGAAGGGACATGATGTTGCTGCGGATTGGTGGTCCTTTGGAGTTCTTATGGTATGGCTCAAACACAGTCTGACAGCAACGTGAATCTCTATGTAAAAATATGACGAAGAAACTAGCGCCATCTCAGGACGTTTTTCCCTACCATATGACCGTCTATTGAATACTGGTTTGACCAAAGCGCACATATACATGAGTTGACAGGTCAAGCTCGTTAGGTGGCGCTAGTTCTGCGTATTTCTGTAGCTGGCAGATTGTGGGCTCAAATTGAATTAAATCAAAATGAATTAAGTGTAGGAATACACTAGTTTACAAAGAATGACAACCATTTTCTGGGTTATTTTGCCTTATTTCAACTTGACACGATTGTGACTTTTTTCAATAGATGGCGCTGTATGTGTTACATGTAAATACCATAGATAATCTATGAAAAACTTTGAACTTTCATTGATTTTGGGTTTTTTCAATAGATGGACTTATAAATTTCACGTACAAATATCATGAAAAGTTCAAATAGGGCAAAGCTGGTAGTCATTCTTTACGACAAAAAACCAACACCTCAACTCAATGATTGATATTGAGAAAAGTTATTTGAGAAGTCAAGACAGCAAAATCGCTTCAGAAGAAATCACTTTTGCATTTCGCTCAACAAGACAGCGTGGCGGTTGAACTAGTATTGTTTTTTTTGGATTTTAAAGTTGATCGGATTCCTCATCCAAAAAGCAGTGTTTAAATGATTTTCTATGCATAGAACATATTCTTCACGTGTCAAGTTGAAGAGATATAACAACAAAAGCGAGGGTTAACGGTTAACCTTGAAACCCCAACGGTGGCATTTCGTTAAAAAGAGCTCGCTCCCAAAGTAAAACCAAATAAATATCAGGGAAAAAGTTTACTTCACTGTGAAAGATTTACTGTCCAAAATTTGTAGACTAATGATATTAAAATGTTGATGAAATCTCATTCCGTTCAATCAATCATAATTTTATTCCCGTTCTAAATCTCATTCCTCTTCCATTTTGAATTCGTTTTTAGTTTGAAATGTTGACTGGCAATCTACCGTTTCACAGTGCTACTCGACAAGAGACTATGGATCAAATTCTTAAAGCCAAATTAGGAATGCCGGATAACCTCTCGAAGGAAGCTCAGTCTTTGGTAATGATTTATGAGAAAATACAATTTGCCTAGAATTAATGTTTAATCATGTTACTTTTTTGTACTAGTTACGTGCTTTGTTCAAGCGAGTGCCAAACAACCGTCTTGGAGCTGGTCCTAATGGAATTGAAGACATAAAGAAGCATGAATTTTTCGCAACAATCGACTGGGCCAATTTATTGCTGAAAAAAGTGCGTCCTCCATTTATCCCTGCTGTTTCTCGTGATGATGCCTATTACTTCGACTCAGAATATACCTGCAAAAGTCCTCGGGACAGCCCTGGTGGACCGGTGAGTGCTAGTGCTCGAGAAATTTTTCGTGGCTTTAGTTTTATTGCACCATGTCTACTGGACGAATCGGAAAATATGACAAATGGCAGCAGCGGTGGCGGTGGTGGTACGGGCACGGTGAACACGAATGATAATAACACGACAAATACAATATCGGGAAATACCCCACAAGTACCTGGTTCCTGTTCAAACAACGGAAGTGCTTCCAGTGCAAACAATGGCAATCCACCGTTGTTCCCATCACGCATTTCACCGTACACAAACGAGATGCCCGGCCTGAATCCTGGAAATTTTCAGGATGAATATCAAATGGGACGGGAGCTTGGTCGAGGCACATTTTCTGTGTGCCGTTTATGCGAACATCGTGCCACTCGCAAACAATACGCAGTGAAGATAATCAGTAAAGCCGATCGTGACTCGCGGGAAGAAGTTGAAATTTTGCTGCGTTACGGCAACCATCCAAATATTGTCACACTGTACAGTGTGCACGAAGACTTTAATTACATTTACTTAGTTATGGAGCTGCTGAAGGGTGGCGAATTACTGGACCGAATCCTCTCGCTCAAACGAATGTCGGAGAGTGAAGCCGCAGCTGTTTTGCGAACCGTTTGTTCAGCTCTTGCCTATTTGCACGAACACGGTGTGGTTCATCGGTATGTGTGAAATTGCACTCACACTAACAATAACATTTGGATTGAAGTAATTTATGCCGGTTTTCATTTTACAGCGACTTGAAACCATCAAATTTACTCTATGCGTCGGTCAATCAAACTCCAGACTCGTTGAAATTGTGCGATCTTGGTTTTGCCAAGCAATTGAGAGCTGAAAATGGCCTTTTGATGACACCTTGTTACACGGCAAATTTCGTTGCGCCAGAAGTGTTGAAGCGTCAGGGCTACGACCTTGCGTGTGATATATGGTCATTGGGAGTTCTGCTTTACATCATGCTCGAGGGAAAAACACCATTCGCAAGTTCTCCAAACGATAGCCCAGAAATGATTCTTGCACGCATAGGTTCAGGAAATGTCGATTTAGAATCAGGCGTAAGTAAACCTTTTGAATTGATGAAGAAAATTAGAAATTAAAACAATAAATCATCATTTCTGTCCAGGTATGGAGCACAATTTCATTGGATGCCAAGGACCTGATCCAGAAAATGCTGCACATCGTGCCAAATCGAAGACCGACCGCCGCTCAAATAATACGACACCCATGGATCGTTCAACAAACACCGTACAATAGCACACAACCGATTGAAATTCCATCCGGCTCAAGCCAACCGATGGTGTGCGATTCAACGGCTGCTGCATTGAAAGGCGCTGTGAATGCCACATTTCGAGCCATTTCATCGCCACAAGGTGCTAACGTTGGCCCAGTCGGAATGTCGGCTTTGGCGAAACGAAGAGCCAGAGATAAAATAAACGCCCATGTCACATAATATGCAATTGATAAGATTACCGAATAATTCGGTTTTCAAATAACAAACAAAAGTATATATCGGACACACCAAGAGCAAGAACGAAAATTCCAGATCCGATCAAGTGCTTTGAGTGATTCTTTTTTGCATGCTTCAAGCAGATAATTTAGACTAGATAACAAAAGAAAAATCTTCATGTGTATGAATTTGTGTATGTATTTGTTGAAGTGTATCCTAAATCTAAGTTTGTTTTTTTCCTTATCTCCTCAACCAATTTCAATTGATGTAAATTAATAGCAAATATTTTTATCTAAAAGACAGACAAATTTGAACAAAAAACAAAAAAGAATGAAGAAAATTTACTAACTACTTTTAAAATCTTATAATAATTTTTTTAAATCTAATTTTAATGGTGAAATCTAATCTAATCGCTTTCTAATTGCTACAATTAACCCAAATCCAAACTTTCATTTCCGATCAAGTGTTTTCCATATATCTACGGGTGAATTTGAGTGGAAACTATGATTTTTTCTTTCGAAAATTAAATGGTTTGATATTGACAAAAACTGTATTATCCTTTTGAAAAATAAAAATGTTTATGAACAGGGCAACCAAAAATATTTATTTAAATAAAAAATATTTAAATAAATATTTCACCATTTTTGAGTTTTTCGAAAATATTTCAAGGTTTTGGCATTTTTTCGTACATAATTTCAGTTGATTTTCATCAAAAATGAATATTTAACGACTTTTATTTTCTCTAAAATTTGTGATTAGAAAATCGAACTTTCTTAAATTTTCAATTTTTTCCAAAAATATGTTCGAAATTTTTTGGCGATTTTTAGCTTTATCGTAAATATTTTGATCATTTTATCGTAAATATTGCGTAAATATTTCGCCGTTTTATCGTGCATAAATAAATAAATATTTCGAGTTTTTTCATAAATATTTTTGGTTGTCCTGTTTATGAAACATACTTACCGCTCAATCTCAGCCATTAGACATGATGTTAACTTAACTTTTGACCCTTTTTCAATGAATGAGCTCCGTAGTTAGATCGCGTGTATTGATTGTTTATGTCGTCATTTTTTGACAAATTTAGTCAGACTAAATGCAAATGTAAATACAAATTCAATTTAGCTAAATGGATGAAGTCAGAATGAATATTTTCAAGTGGTTAAATGAATAACAATACTTCCATTGTAATGGATATGATTCAATAGGTGAGAATATATATATTTTGTGCGTGTATAGTTATTTACAGCGTGTTTATAACATATTACATAATATAAATAATAATTCAACAAAATGAAATGCATTAGAACAATTATTTAGCCGATAGCAAACATGTGTTTTAAGATTGCTGAGCATCTCAGCATTTCGTAAGGCACGGATATATCCGAGCATATCGACGACGCATACTGTATAATACAGTGGCGTGTGTTACTACGTGCAGCCGCAACGACTCGACCGAAGTATGTTCAGTTGATGTGGCTGCACGCAGCAACAACATACACATTCCGGTCGAGTCGTTGCGGCTGCGCGTAGCATTGCACGCCACTGTATGCGTCGTCGATATGCTCGAATATATTCGTGCCTTACGAAATGCTGAGATGCTCAGCAATCTTAAAACACATGTTTGGCCGATAGCAAAACACCAATTTATTTTTGATGATATTTAGGAGATGATTTGATTGACAATTTTGACAATGGAACTAGAAATAAGGTCACAAACAAACACACACAGAGACAGATTGCAAAATGAATGTCAAATCGAAAGCCAATGTTGAAACAATAACTGTCCATATTTGCAGGACAGTCAACCGGGCAAAAGTAGTGAAATATTTTTGTATGTCAAATGAAATGTTCCTTAGTCAAAATGATTAAAGAAAACCGGAAAAAAGACAAAAAAAAATAATTACAAAAATTTCAAGTGCACACAATTAACATACACTTATGCGAAAGAAATCCCATATACAAACCCCTTTTAAAAATCGATTACCATATTGTTGCTTTTGCAAGGTCGAATTTTGATAAAATTGAGATGAAAGTAAAAAAAAAAGACATTTGTTTGGTCACCAATTCTCGAGGTTAGGTTGTAACATTGGGATACATTTTATGGAAAAATTTATACAATTTAAATGTAATAAGTAAGTGAAGCACTGTTTTCAATTCCCCTCGTAAACAAATCAATTCCAATATTTGCTACTAAAAATAAGTGAACGACAAAGAAAAATCAAAGAAAAACAAAGACATTTTTTGTCCAAACAATTATATTCAACGCTCTTTCTGGCTTTTAATGAATTCATCAATAAAAACTATTCTTATTCTTAACCACAAACTTAGCTTCGCAATTTGTATTTGTTCTGCCGTCGAAGGAAAGAAAAAACGATTCTATTGTTTATCGCAAAGTTTTAATCGATTCTGAAGTAAACTTTTTGATTCTTTTTTTTGTATTCTATTTCCTAAGCCATTTCCAGCCAACTGAGCAAAGTAATTTATTGTGAATTGCATACAACTTGGGAAAGTTGGATGAAATGCTGCCGGAAGCGTTGTGCTTGCTTCGCAATATCAAGTTGGCATCATCAAATTTTTTTGAGTGTGGAGTGCAACGAGTGTTCATTTACCTCGTTGAATGTAAGCGAAAATAAAGCGAATTTGTTGCTTGAACGATATTTTGTAGGAAATATTTGCTCCACGTTACTTGCCAGTACGTTATTCTGTGAATTTTACTCTATTTCAGAGAATAAATTGAAAAAAAAATGGATGAAAATGGACTGTATTATTATATGAATTGCTGTATAAAAATATTTGTTGCGTCATTTCCACAATTTGAGCAAGGTTGATTCACATCGTATACACCGATTGGCTGGACTAATAATCAATCTGTTTCGTCTAATCTCAATTGAGATAAAATAAAATCCGTTGGGTTTCACTATCTGACTGCCAGTCTGGGTTTCGGGGTGAAAAGTTGATTCACTTTCGGCAGTTTACAAACACATCGTGTCGTTGTTACACGCTCGAAATTGGACGTTCTAACGAATTTCAAGTGTTTTTTTCGACAGAGTGGGCAAGTTATCGAAAATAAATACTTTAGTAAATCTTGTCTCATCGACAATTTAAAGTACTTCTCGTCTGTACGGCGGTGTGTTTACAGGTAAGAAATGACAACACAGATACGTGTTAATTCATGGCCAAAACTGATGACTGATTTGTGAGAAAAGTATTTTTTTTTTTTTTTAAACGAACGTTCTGATCGATTTGTGCCATGGAGCGTGGCATTGAAACAAATAAATTAAATAAATATTAGAATTAGAACACAATTGATAAATCAAATGTGTTAAGAGCGAAAACGTGCACGAAACGCATGAATGAGACGCGACCGAATGAGTGCATACAATTCATGCATATAGCTGCTATTCAAATCTGAAAAACATTTTCAATTCAAGCGAAAAATAGACAAAAACAGACAGAGGCTCTTTTACAGAGCAGCATTAGTGTTTGAGTTTAGCCATGTGTTTGCATATTGGCCAAATTACACTTTTATCTTGACTAAAATCGCTTGCTCTATCATAAACCATATCTTGTCTAGAGAAATTCAAAGTCGATTTATTATCAGGTACGGTTTCAATGCTGATTTTCACTTTATTCTGCATCGCAACGATAATTTTGTGTTTCACTTAATCTTTTCACAAAACTGCATAACACAGTATTTTTGCATACCAAAATACAGTGAGCGTTTTTTTTTTGCATTGGAATTTCGAAAGAGGAGTGTTTATTTATTTAACGTAGTTTCATGATGAAAAGTGCTCGTATAAACTGTCATGCACACGAAAATAACCGCAAAACCAGATCTAAAGTCGCATGCAACAGATGCAAACTCTCTTTCGATCTCGTATATCACTGTTGTACTGGCTTAAATACGTAAATTCACTGTAACGCCTCAACTTCGTACTCTTTCTTGCCACCAGCTCCAGCTCTGTCACACTCATGAATGAAAATGTTTTTAATACCAAATAAATGTAGGTAATTATTAAAACGAAAATATTACGTTTCGTACGAGACGAAAAGAGAGTGTGTGTTTGTGTCTACTGACTGAGAGAGAGCAGGTTGTACTAGGGACTGCGCCATAGATGAAAGCAATCCAACGCTCTTTCGCCTGTTGCACGCTATACTTTTCTGGCATGTATAATTATGCTCGACGCTCGTTAGTCGTAATTTATTTTATTTTTTCCTTGTACTTTCCTTAAACACTACTTCTAGCTCTATTTACTCGGTTCGGAACGGCAATGCGTTCTCAGTCGTCAAAATGTTAAGCCTCAAGTCAGTTACAATTTAACTACTTTCCGAATCGTACGAAAAAATATTGAAATTGTGGATTTACGCACTCCAGCCGCGATCGAATCGATCCAATTTTATCAACTCGTGTGTCAATACCAGTTTTATCGCAGATAAATCAATTATCGATTTGTTTGTCTGTCTGTCTGTGAATGAATCAATCACCCAAACATCGATAAAATATAGCGTATTTTTATAGTAAATTAGCGACCTCTTTGTGTAGATTTCAGCCTAACAATATTTGCTATTCATGAATTAAATTGTGTGTTTCGATAGTTGCTATACCAGTGATCAGTGCTTAGGCTTGACATCTGAATGAATGGAAATTTCTTAAACAGTTTCGGAAAAAACCCCGAGAACAACGTACTCGCCGAAAACGTGTAGCTCTTCTCCGTTCCGTTATTTATTTTGTTTGAACATAATTTGGTGGATATTCAAAAGGTTCCGCAATGTCCGACACCGAACTAAACGAGACGTTCGATTTGGATGACAAACGTGCCGAAATCGTACCTGCCCTTCAAAAATCGAAAAAAGGTAATTCCATTACATCGAACTAAGCATGTGCTCGTTTAAGTATTTTGTTTCGTTTTAGACATTCATTTGTGTATACATCATTAGTGAATTTTTAAAAAAATATATAGAACAAAGTCCCCAGGTAGCAAATATTTTGCATGTCTGAATTCTGCAATATCATAATGATTCAATTAAAAATAATTAAATTTAATGGAATGTGATTATTTCGAAAGTGTTTGATTTGATGTCGTTATCACGATATAAAGTGAAATCGGATCTGCCTTAATTTTCAATTAAACAACTTAATTTATTCTGAAATCAATTAACAAACACCATACACACCAAAATATTGAGTTTTTTTTCGTTAAGTTATCGCTTCACTAACAACAAGTATTCGAGAGAGAAAAAAACAAACGGAATATTGCACGTGGGCTATGAAGTGATTAGTGCCGCCTTCGATAATTCCGAGGAAAAATCTCATTGTTTTCATTTTTGCACGTCAAACAAGCATGTACACTTTCGTTTGATTTCTTTCATTGAGTTTGGGATATATATTATTTATTGATTCTAACGTGGAAACAAATGGGGAAGTCCATGTATTGTTTTGTATGTGACCTGAATATTGTCAGCCCAAGGAAAATGTGTTAAATGTAATTTATGATCTAATTGAAAAGAAATCCACATTTAATCCATACAATATGCGCGGCCATTTATGCGTATTTCGAATTTTATTTTTATTGTCAAATTCAAGGTGAATTTTGCATTTGTCTATTGATTTGACGGTTTGCACCCGATTTTTTTTCTCTTCGCATGACTGAATCAAGCATGATTGATTTCGTTCTATACTTATCAATAACGTTTGTATCATTGCTTCCCACACTCATTCACTCTGCAGCGCATGTTAATAGCAATCAACGGAACGAAACAGCGTAAAATCGTCGACAACGTGTTTGTTATCGCATGAGTGGATGCATCAATTCGCTTATTCTTAGGATGATACAATCGTAGCGTAGAAAATCGTATCGACACATAAATTCACACACTTTCGATAATCTTTTCACTTTAGACGCCATCCAAATACGAATGCATTGATTTCCCAGCAAGTGGTTTGTATGTTGGTTATTTTTGGTCAAAATGAACGAAAATAAAAGCACAATCGAACGGCACAATCAAACAGTGGTCGCTCTTGCATTCACTTTCGTGATCGTTATCGAGAGTAAAACGGTTAGAAATCACGATGTCTCTTTCTATTTATGTCAATGTATTCAAATGCTTATCAGTGTTTGCACGAGCGCACACACATTTCGATTGAATTGATTTAGACTCATTTCATTCGTTGAAAAATAGGGGAAAAAAACTGAAGAAAGTATTGCCACCGCAAACAAATGACTGTTCATTAGAATAAGAAATTTATAAACGAATCGATTTTGAAAAGTTCAATTCATGACGACGTTTGAATCGCAACGCAACCTAATCGAATCGTAATGAAATTGTTGAATGAATAATGCGATTGAGGCGAATTGATGATTTGCATTTGAAATCGAGTGCAATTTTGCAAAAGATGAACAAAACGAGCACAAGAGATAAATTGAATCTCTTCGTGTCATTATAGCTATATATACTGACAGTATTTCCGCAATTCAATCACTGTAAGACTGAATTCAATTTCAATCAATTTGTTATGACATTTTTTCATTGATTTTTATTTTTCACGAAAAAAAAGGGAACGATTATTTCGATCCAGTACCGAGAAATAAGTGGCGTCGTTAGTTGCGTCAAAGTTCAGGGTTTATTGATCAAACTCATTTCAAAGGATAAATCAAACGTAATATGATTGGATGAATTTTAGAAGGACACCCAAACAAACTGATAACAACGAGTACTTATTTCGATCCGAGTGGAAAACAGCTAGACATCATATTTTACGGAAGAAAAACAATATCAACAATTGAAATATAATATTGCTGATTGGTGTATGGCGTGTAGTATTTCTGCGGAGGCGCTTTGTTGACAAACCGTTATGGAAAATGAAAACGGATTTGTCGTTGAAAACAAGAAGTCTTGTTAATGGCAAAATACTCTGGAAATTGTGTTGATAAATGTGGTGAACAAAAAAAATTGATCACCTTAGACAATGGAGAATTAAATGGCATAGGTTCTGTGGAAAAAAGAAAAAACGGTAAATGCAAAGGTGTGTTCATTATTATGATCTGCGTACTACGTACCAAATTAACACAATCAATATCAAATCGATTTAAATGCGATCCGTTCGGTTTATTACCTTTATAACTCACACCCTGCCCCCATTAATTTATCCATTGTGTGGTCGCGGTTGGGTTTTTTTTTCTTCTCGTTGACAGCCGAATAATTTATTTCGTCAACGAAACTTTCATTGATCGGCTTGAATTGTTTGCTTCTGGCGATTATAATTACCACAAACAATCAACTGTGTACACTCATTATTCACCACTTCTCTCAACTCGGTCTGTTTTTGTTTTCCTTTTTTATTATCGTCTATTGAACTGTTTTTTTCTATTATTAAATTAATCCGTTTTACGAGAGAGAAAAAAGTCAACCTCTATGACTTTCGTCAAAGGAAAAAAACACCATATATGATATGATTCATTTTGAATTTGACATGTTGATAAACTCATTTTTTTCGCTATGCGCCACGCCAGATGATCAACAATCATGCCAGATTCAAAAAAAGTATTTCACGCATTCATCAGTAGAAAACAAATTTACGACAAAAACCCAAATCATAGCGCAAAAAGAAGCAAATTACATCAGCTGAAACTGATCACGGCTGGTGCGTTGAAAATAAATTGTAAAATTGATAAAATAAAAAAAAGACGAAGAAAAATGTCGAAAATCAGTAATTGCAATTGGTGATTAGAAAAACCCAAATACGTAAAATTATTTACGCAGCATCGTGACCGCGAGAGGAATAGTGAGAACATGTGTCGACCAAAGTGTGTCACACTAACGAAGAGAAAAAAAATTGTCCAAAACTATGCTAATATCATTACTTACTATCATTACTCAACGAAAATGCGTATTTATTATACCCGATCATCTCGACACTCACCGCACACGAGACTAGTAAATGTCTCGAACGTGTACGCGTTGCAAATTGTCATAAGATGCTAATGATATCTGGTATTTTACATAACGGAGTCACTAGTTCTCGTTTATATTTTGGGTGATTTTGAGCGCGGGAGAGGAAGAGACAGAGAGAAAGATTGAAATTCAGCCTGCAGCCAATTTGAACGGGTCTTGTGCTGATTTGCAAATTGAATTCAGTGCATTAAGCTAAACAAGTTTCCTATGACATGCATGCATTGACATGAAAATTGCGCGGGTTTGGTTCATAAAGTTGTGATTTTTTTCGTGCATTTTCTGCGAAATGGCAAACGACCTGTTCAACGTGCATGGGGAATATCCCGCATTTTCATCGTAAAATTCATGATGCAACCATTTACAAAAATGAAGAGATTCAACAAACGAATCAAATTTGCATTTACAATTGAAATTCGTGGCCGTAAATCGTTTGAATTTGACGAATGATTCGATTCGATTCCACTTTATGTACACAGTCATGATTAAGTTTTAACGATTTCGAAATTAATCCGCATGCATTGCCGAGCTCGCGTGACTAAAGAATGCCGCAAATCCAATTAGCGATTGGCTCTATCAAGCGAATCATTTCTAAATTGGTTCAATTGGAATGTAGAAGAAAATAGAGAACCTGGATATTTTTTTTTGAATAATAGCAAACCTAGCTGCACTCCAGCCACTCGAAAGCACTTCACGTCTGCATGATAACAGTGCAAGCGTGTCATATGTCGAATCAGAGAAATCGAGCCGTGAATAAATCAAATGGAAATGATTTATTCAACATGTGTGCGAAACTGTGAACATCACGGAAAATGAAATTGCGAGAATTCCGCAAAATATTTCGTTGAAGTGTACAATAGCAACAAATTTTATTCAAATGAAATGTTGACAAAATTGAGATGGTAAATGGAAGTCAATATTGAACATTTTAAGCCGTTTAATCCAAATACTTTATGGTTTGTTATTGATTTTCATTTAAAATTGAAAATCGCATTCACTGCCAAGGAAGCTAATTTAGCAAAAGGAAAAAATAAAGTTTACTCAAAGTCAAATACAAAAATAGTGTCATTCATGGAACGAAGCGCCCATAAGAAAGATTCAAAGACGATAAAATCAGAACAGTTAAGATTTTGTTCAAAGCGAAAATTGGATTTCAATTAAAATTCCCTTGAGCCCATTAACGACATTAATTAAACGAATCCAATTGAACATGTCTAATGGCACAGAACAATGTACTAAGAACGAATAAAGATACTTCCGCGCTACTTCGACAGAGGATCTTTATCGCAAATTGTTGCTAATTTCTAAACCAATGTGAAGCATGTGACCACATGAATGGTCAAGCAAATCGCCGAAGAATCTCAAAATTCAACTAATTAATGGTTTTTAAACAATTAGCGCCGGCTGCGGTGTTAATAGTTTCACTATCGGCATAATCATTGCTCGTGGTCGTGTGATTTATTCACGCGCATGCAGACGACATCAATCTCAATCCATTGGAAATATTCATCACAAATTCTGTCATTTATCCGATCATTTTCCAAGTCATTGAATGAGACGCAAGAGAATATATTTATTCGTTCGGTTGGAACTTGATGAGGATTGACACAAGTCACAAGTTGAAAACTACACAAAAACTACACGAAAACAAAGCATTCGATAGAGTTTAGTTGAGAGTAGCATTTTATTAGTTGAAATAATGCATACCGAGCATGCTTCTTTCAGCTGTTATTATTCGATGGGACGATACAAATATGTAGTTTGCGAAAACGACAAAAAAACAACAACAACATCAAGTTCAAAAATTACCTAATACAGATAATTACTTCGGCGATGCATGCATACTACATGGCAGAGAGAATCGTATCGACGTATCGTCGCGTCGGCTATCAATGTGGTTCGTCTATAAAATGAGGCGGTTCAGTCAGTTACCGGTTTAGTCGTGTATTCACCGTTAGCTATGAACGAATGATGTACCATTTCTTCCGTCGAATTTGAGCACAGTAGCACACAAGCAGCAGGGACAACAACAAAGCAGCAGCGTCGTCGCCGTCACAAATCGAAAAGAAAACATCGAAAAAAAACCAAGCGAAACACACAGAAAAAAACATATCACAATTTATTCGCACTTTGGACACAACAGAAGAAGAGATCTGGATCAGTCGATTGTCGTTGTTGTGAAAGTGTAACGTGGAGAAGAAGAAAAACATCGAGTGAAAACAGAAAAAAATCTTGAAGCGGTTAAAGGTTATTCGTAGCTGTCTGAGAGAGAGAAAAAACACACACACACACACACAGAGAGAGAGAGAGAGAGAGAGAGAGCTTTTCCGTTATTATTTATTTTCATTTGTACATTGTGCCACTGGCGCTTCACTCGAACTTGCTCCACATAAACATTATAACTGTATAATTACGTCAGTGAAAAGTTTCAAAACATCGACCAAGCAAAACGTTCAAGTTCAAAGTGAAAATATTCTTTTTCTACGGACTTTGTTTGGATGACGTGTGTGTTTGTGTGCGTTTGCTTAAATGAAAATGGTTTGAGGTGAACGAAGCGAAAAAAAAGAGACGAAACTGTAAATACTTTTAATACGTTTGCATACGCTCAGTGCAGTAGCGTGCGGAACCGAACAGCTGTTTGTGCAGGTTTCAGTTGTCGTGGCTTCAAGCTAAAAATACAGTGTGCATTTTTCTGTGCTCAAAAATAATAACCACACAGCATAAGACGGCATAACACAACTAAATAAACACCATAGTTAAACTTACCGTTAAACTTGACTTTGATTCTGCAAGTGGCTCATGCACTCGGGCATTTAAGAATTGCAACATGGAGAAGTGTAAGTGTTTACTCGACGCAATTGTAGTCTGTGTAGTTTTTTTTCCTATTTTCTGAAGTGAGCCCTTGCATTGTGTATTTTTGCAATGACGCAGTGGTTCGATGCATTGTCGTGAAAGTAGATTAGGTTTCTCATTTGTTATGACATTACTTTGTCATTTTCTGTCAAATCGATTTTCAATCAATCTTCCAAGGAATTGCCACAATTTTTCATTCTTCTACGAGATAACATGTTCTGTTTCATATGTTCTTTTTTTACTGCTCTTTCCAAGACAGCACCATCACGTTGGGATGGAATCGCGCATTTGGCAGATAAGCGGTTATTGTTTCATTCAACAAATGAACGCGTGAGAATAAAAGACTGACGCTACCAGGTTTTTCGCAAAAGTGGGATAAAAATCAGTTGCACGCAAAAGAGACATTTCAAAGGGTTGCACGCAAGAGAGAAGTATATTGTTGTTGTAATCACGGCTTAAAATTCAAAATGCGACAAAATAAAATGTTTCGTTTGCGTGTAACCTTTTGAAATGTCTCTTTTGCGTGCAACTGATTGTTATCCCGCTTTTGCGAAAAACCTGCTAGCGTCAGTCTTTTATTTTCACGCGTTCAAATGTTCTTTTCCATCGTATAAAGTAATAATTTTCTGAGATTGTAAAAATCATTTTGTAGCCAAGATGTGATCAATGTCTTTTCTTTTGACATGATATCACATCATCATGTCGAAAAAAACAGATCGAATCAGAGAGATGCAATAAAAATCGTACAAAATGTGATAAAGAGACATCTCTACTGTGATTGAGCAATACTATTACAGCTATTCAAACGAGTAAAGAGATTTGACATTTTTGAACTGTGTTCGCTTATAGTACAGTAAACGGATTTACGATCTGTGTTTCATGTGATAGTCGTTTCGAGAACTTGAACCCCATAACAAAAACACACGAAAAAAAATCACACGGAAACTGGTTGTTTATGTCTTGTCTATTGATAATTCGGGCGACATTCAGAAAATTTGAGGCTGTAATAATTTTTTTTTTCTCTCGCATGTGTGATATGCCTTGTTTACGTACGTTGATTGTCTGTTTAAAATCGGCATTAACCGAGATCAAATAAAATCGCTGGAACAGTTAGAATGCTCGGTTGATTGCTATTGCTATCACGATTAAAAGAATGTGTATTCATTCTACTATTCGGTGGCTGTCGATAACTGGGTGAAGTTCGGATGGTCAAAACGTATCATTCAAAAGAGGCCAACCAAAAGCGAGGTGTGGCGAGAAATATTTGCGATAATTAAGTCCCGTTGTGTTCACACAAACATCAAATTCATGATAACAAGAGAAACACGCAATTCAATATTGTTCAACCAACTTCGATTCTTCTGTAATTTCTAGAGGACTTTAGTAGAAAAAACAATATTTTGTTCTAGAAATTTATATTGCATGTTGTATGACGTAAAGTGTTGATTCGCATTTCTTTGGGTTCACCTAAGTGCTAAAGTGTGCCTCGTCCAAAGCATTTCATTATTTTCAACCTCCGTAGTTTGATGATTGTTATGTAATAATTTTTCCAATGGAAACCTGACTTATACAACTAGGATTTTTCACAGAACAAAATTGCACTGAACATCAAAGAACTAGCACAGCGTCAGCGCAACATTTGACCCAATTGCTTGACGATTGTGTGTACAAACTAGCATTCAAGCCAGGTAAGATCAATCCCCGAAATGGAGTTCACTCAGAAGCCAGTCCAATTTTTCAATAAAGAATCATCATGACGTAATAAACGACATGAGTTCCACTTCGGCATGAGGTCAATTTCATAAAAATGTTTGTATTATGCCTGAGTATAGAAGAAACAAAGGCAATTTCAAATTGATATCGTTAGTGTATGTAAACGGTCGTAATTTATCCGAGATTGTTAGGGAGATATTCGAGGCGTGTGACGCCGTCGCATCTTATAAAAACCAATTTACTTTGAATCAACTCTAATTCAATTCAATATATTGATTATCTTAATTGGTTTTTGTTGGTTATCATTCATAAAAACACACATTCTTTGTTTCAATTGCAGCAATTGATGTGCAAGCTAATGGTACTAATCATTCAAACTTGGCAGCGGTTGGCGACGGCACCCTCAACAATGGCAACAGTGAAAAAAAAGACGATTCACCAAAATCCGATGTAATTCAAAAGGCGATGGGCTCGCTTGGCCGTTGGCATATTATTGTGTGCGGGTTTATATTCCTGTTGAAGTTTCCCGTGGCCTGGCATCAAATGAGGTTTGCACACATCAAACATTATGCTGTCAAATGCAACTTTAATTCATTCATCATGATCAATAACTAGCTGTTTGCCCTTGGCTATTCTCAAAACACACAAAATCAATAAAACCTGAATGGAATTTTTTTTTAACTCTTTGTATGTTACAGTATTATCTTCATGGCGTCAAATGTCAACTATACATGCGCTGATGCCAACATCACCAACACATGCTCAGCCGAATGCACGGAATATGCTTTCAATCGAACCGTTTTCACGGAAACCATTCAAATGACATGGGATTTGGTGTGCAGCAAAAAGCACCTAGCGAATTTATCTCAAACCATTTTTATGTTTGGCATCTTAGTAGGTAACCATAAATTTTATGCAAATATAGCAAATAAATTTATGTAATATAATGTAAATATACAAAAGAATATTTATATCAAATAAACCACCTCTGAGGCAACCTCGCAATTATGTTACAATATTAAAATTAAATATACATTACTCTTTGTAGGTAATATGGTGTTTGGAACATTAGCCGATAAGTAAGTGACACGTCAACCTCTTATTTGATCAGATTTGTAATGCATTTTTATCTTCTTTGTCAATAGATTTGGGCGGCGAGGTCCATTGGTTGTCGCTGTTTTCATCCAATTATTCGCAGGAATTGCAACTGCTTTTGTTCCCAAAACAATTTTCGGGTTTTGGCTCTTCTGCGTGCTGAGATTCATAACGGCCTTCGCGACTGGTGGCACCATGGTCACGAGGTAAGTTTCGCAAACACAAAATTCCATCATAAACAAAAGCTGTGTAATATTCTATTTTTTATCGTCAGTTTCGTGCTTGTGATGGAGTTGGTTGGAACGAGATGGCGTGAATTGATTTCGGTGCTCTACCAAATTCCGTTCAATTTGGGACATTTAACTCTGCCAATATTTGCATACTTTTTCCGTGATTGGCATCATCTCCAATTGGCTCTTTCCATTCCGTCGCTTCTGCTAATCTCATACTATTGGATCATCCCGGAAAGCCCACGTTGGCTTTTCACCGTTGGTCGCATTGACGAGTCGGCAGTCGTACTGGAAAAAGTTGCTGCGTTCAACAAACGGCCAACTGACTCGATCAAAATGGATCTGGAAAAATACGCTGTCAGCACAAATACAAATGCCAAAGAAGTGGCGCGAGGCAATTTTCTCGATTTGTTCCGTACACCAAATATGCGATCGAAAACCATTTGCATGTGCTTTAACTGGCTAGTTTGTGGAATGTGCTTCTTTGGCGTGGCACAGTATATAGGCGAATCCGAGGGAAATATTTTCAAAAATGTCATAGTATCATCTGCTTTGGAATTACCGGGAACCATCTTATGCATATTTACAATGAAAAAGTTCGGCCGTAAATGGACGCTGATCGGTTCCAATGCTGTTGCAGGCATTTGCATGCTACTTATTGCGTTCATACCATCGATTCAGGTTACTTTGGCTTCTATCGCTTTAGTTGGCATGAGCGTGTCGTTCCCAACGGTCTATTTATATGCCGGCGAAATTTTCCCAACAGTTGTGCGTAACATTGGAGTCGGAACGGGTAATTATAGGATTTTCGTTTTAATTGACAACCGACGAAGTGGTGAATTAACGACTGACATATGGTTTGTTTTTCTATTTCAGCATCGATGATCGCTCGTATTGGTTCGATGGTAGCTCCATTTATCATCACTATGAAAGTGTTGAGCCACACATATCCACCGATTGTATTTGGAATATTCCCGTTGATTGGAGCTGCGCTGGTATTACTGTTACCGGAAACTAGAGGGTAAATTGTTTTTTTTTAAATAATAAGTTTCAGCTGAAAATACACTCCTTTTTGACATTGAAGCAAAACTAATTTGTGTTACTATTACAGACAACCGCTGCCGGCAACGATTGAAGATGGTGAAAATTTCGGAAAAAAGACGAAAAACTAATCTAAAGCCGCTCCGAGAGCAGTCATCATACTCCACTATTTCCAATTACTTCAAACTACTAGAAAAATTACAAAAAAAAATGAAAATCTGTGAATGTTAATAATTTGTTTTAGGACAAACGTTAAGGCCTTTAATTTAAGAATAAATCCACCGTGATGGACAATTTGGCCACACAATTACACGATATTGTTGAAAAAAGAAACATATGTTGAAGGAATGAAACAAAAAAACTGATTTCTAATATTTATACTAGTATTTGAATAATAAAATACGTTTGAGAAAAAAATGAGTTGAGATTTCTTTGTATTCGAAGTCACGATTCGAATGGGATCATTATCATCGTACAAAGATGGATTTCGTTAGGCTGCAAAGATATTTATCGCACTTGCTGCAAGACGCCAAGACGTCTCTACGAGTGAAATGCTTGAAACTGTCTTCGTACACATATTGAACACGAATATTGTCGTTTACACAATCACACTCACACAAATGAACACATCGATAGTGTCCGCTCAATGTATGCACGATGACTGTTTTGAGTGTTCCTCGCCTAGAGGGCTGCGTGTCGTTTTTCCTCGTTTATCAAGCGATCTTGTTTTAACAACTGTCAACCACAACAGAAGATCTTCGCAATGTCGTTCACGCATTAATTATCATTTAGTAGTCATCAATTGACCATGCAATTCCAGCAAATGCATAAAATTCCACATAAAAAAGTATTGATTACCGAACCGGTCATTATGCTAAGCAGTTCAGCAGTATATATTTTTAAGTGGCCATATAATCATTGTCTATGGATGTAAAACAGATGCCTCTACAGGTGACATTTTCCCATTTTATAGGCGGTGAAAATATCTTTCTATGCATTAAACTTCCACTTTATCGTCGTATTGTGACCGTTTTATTTTAAAAATAGTCCGCATTTCATTTTTTATGGCCATTTACGGCTGCGTTTAGGATGCCCAATTTAGAAATGATTTCAACGTACACTTTGTGTACATCGCCATAAAATTCGATCTCAAATTTTGGTTTGCCTTTACTTTTATTCCACTGCGCTCAAGATTATTATTCACAAACCACTCAAGTTGTTGTAATGATACAACCTTAGAAACTAACACGCGCGATAAAAAGATAGAACCGCTGTGTTCGGTGAAACAATTGCGCGTTATTCGTTGCGTGTGTCTTTCACTTGTGTATTTCGACACACGATTTCTGGCATTCACATTCGTCGTCGTCGTCGTCGCCATAAATGTTAGTAGCTGAAAATGCTGGCCCGACTTGAGTTGACAAATAGCATTTTGAGGAATGCAACTCTTTTAAATTAAAATTATGATCATAAAATTAACGACGAGTCAGTTATAAGAGCAAATTGAGATACGGCTATCAATCATCACAATTAATTCACAGCCACAGTCTTTGTGTTCTAGCACAGACATTTATTTACGTTTTGGTCGTGGATAACGTACTCAAAACGTCGACATTGTCGTCGCTTTGTTTTTAATTAACATTTGATGTGGTGAATAAAATTGAAACGAAAAACTTTGCTCGAATATGAAAAATGGAATTTACATTGAATTTCTCTGTGTGAATCTGACACCATTGCTTTTTTAATGCACTATTTATTGACTGCTGTGGGAGAAATAAAACCGCAGTTGTAAAATGATTGTCACACGCAACTTTCAAAGCACATCACTCACAGAGATATTGGCACATTTCAGATACATTCCTTACGCAAATTAAATCAAAAATCGAGACATTTAAATCTTCCGTTAAAAAATTAGCATCACATGTATAATTGGCGGTTAAATGTACAAGTGGAAAATCATGTCTCACAGTTTTCGCTCCATTTCCACTGAATTTCTGCTCAAAATATTTTACAAACATTCTTTTGCACCCGAAATTTATGAGTGATTCTTTTTTTTTCGGTTGAGACATTTTGTTGCACATGTTTGTGAGTTGTTCTCAATTGATTGAGCGAAAAGTGTTTGTGAGCGATGATGTTGATGACAATGATTCCGTTGCATTTGCAGTGAATGAAAGCAGTGAACTGCTCGTTCGATAGAACGAAAAAAACGAGCACGACATAAATCCAACTTATGTACACAAAAACTAGCAATGACTTGCATTTATCAGATTTTATTCATACGAAATGCGATTCTCGTTCGGAAGTAACAACGATTTCAATGTGGATGACGACGACGACGACGCAGAGAAAAACAATGAGAGGAATTTGTGTGCGCGCCAAAAATGTGTATCCAATACAGGAATAAAAACATAACAACTACTACAATGTGCAAAGAGATACAACGCGGTTGGCATGGCACATATGAGCTTTGCATCTGTATCATAGTGGATTGTATGATATGCGAAGTAGCGGCGCAATGTGCGCTTCTCTCTCACTGTGAGAACAATCATCATCATCGTCATCATTTCACTCCGTCGGTCGGTCTGTTGATGCTACGAACTTCATCATATTGAAAAATACAAACGACAATAAACACATTCGCGCACGCCGAGCAAAATTCAGTTACTGTTGACGATTCGAGCAGTTACGATGTTCTGAAAAAAAAAACGTTCTTTCGTTCTCTCTATCAACTCACACTCTGAGTATCGTTTTCTTCGATCCCGACAAATTCACCAGTAAAGTGTGTGTATGTGTATCGTGTGCTCCAATCATCTATTTGAATATTATTATTATTTTTTTCAACAGCCGTTGAATTTTCTCTGTCGACTTTTTGCTTGAAAATTATTAATTGTGAATTATTCAGAAGAGAAAAGGAACAGAAAATTTGAAGAAAAAAAAAACATTTCCAGTGAAAAACTAATTTTTTTTTTGAATTGTCTCATCGTCGTGTGATACTGTGAGTCATTCAGCAAACAGACAACAAACGGACAATTCACATGATTTCAAGGGATTTTCTCTCATTCAGTGAAAAAAAAGTATAAACAATCAATTTCAAACGAAATTCAACGGTCGAAAGTTTTTGCGAGAAGAAAGCAAAAATTATCAACGAAACGAAAGGAAAACCAATCAATTCATCTTTACGCTGTAAACATTGATAAAATCAATCTAGGTAATGTGAACGCTTTAAAAAAAAGCCAAAAAATTATTATTATTCATCATCATCAAAGCAGGAGAGGCTTAAAGACGGATACATTATAAAGACAATTGGCAGATAGACGACACGGTCAGAGTGTTCACTGTTCATTGTAATAAAACAATCAAAATAAATCACATCTAAATCAGTTGTACTCGATACATCACCAACACACATACACATTTAGCGTGTCACAAGCCAAAATTACTACAAATCCCGTTTTGTCTAATATGCTATCGGTTTGGTGTAATTGACAGCCGTTTTGTTCATTTACACTTTGAGACCGCGCGCCAATTGAGTTTTTTAAAGCTAAAATCGTAGTGAAAACGATTGTATGAGCAAAAGGGCGAGCAATTGTGTGTTTTCTGCAGCATTTCTATTTGCATTTGCCGTTTGTTTCGGAGTTAAAGTTAAACTACTACTAACAAGTGAAAGTGGCCCACCAAAAATGGCCCATCATTTATAAATCACTAGAATAACCAAGAAAGACTCATTTGTATCTCAAAAATGATCCAAAGTTCAAGAGCCGTCTTCGAAACAATGAAAAAGGAGAGGGAAAAAAATTCCCAACTTCAACGCCGTGTTAATAAAATAAATTAGGGAAAATTACGCTATTCAGTGTTTGGATTTTGATAGATTTCATAATTCAAATAAATCGTTTGCGTTCCGCATATTCTCTATCTCTGCAATCGTTGGCCATTTAAATAATTTTGTGTCAACCGAAACGGCAGTTTTGATATTTCTGTGTTTCTCTCTTTCTCGTCGGCTGGTGCCCAATGGTGCTCATCATCATTTATTAATTGGATGTGTTTTATTTTTAAAACTCTCTGTTTTTCACCCAATCTCGTCGCGTTGTCCGCTTACGGCTGGCTACCAAAAAACCCAGCCTCACCGTTTTCTTACTCACTCACTCATAAAATGTCTACGCGTCACATATAATCAATCTGAATCATACGCGGGAACACAGGCAAATACTACGTAGCAATTCGAATAATGAAAAATAAACGAATGATTAAAATGGGCGCGCGCGCGCACATTCGAGGTGTGAACAACAAGGAGAAGAACCGAAGAAAAAAAATTATTCAACAAATCATTTAGAAAAATTCACCAGATCTCGATCAGTTGTAACCGCTGGCGTTTTTCACGTTGTTGAACTCGTTTCGTATGATTTCGTCTCGACGGTGTGTCGTGCAATTGGTATAAATATAGTTTTAAATGTCATCTTCTGATTATTCCACTTATTTGTGTGCGCGTTCGCTTGCTCGCTCTGAAGTGACCACGACAACGACAACATCACACAAATACTAACGGCACACATTTCATAAACAAATCTTCTTTATTCGCTATCGATGAAGCGAACGTGCCTCATTCGATTTGGACGTAATTTTCTCACGTTTGCACCACATTGATGACGATTCACTGCCGCAAATTGGTGGCGTTTTCTATCGTCGTCCCCTTTGGAAGACGAATTGCGAGAAGAAGAAAAAAAACCAAATATACGAAAAATTGTTGTGGCAGAGGGAAAGAGAGAGCGTGTGAGAGAAAAACAGACAAAATTGAAAGAAAAACGGCGACAATCCCACTCGATTTTCGTGTGTGTCGATGGACAGTCCTTTGGGATAAACAATTGGCACAGTGTGTGCGCGCATCAAGAAGTATCATGAAAATTTCACAAAAATAAATAAATTATTGAAAATTTATATGAAAAATGGTGAAATTCGATGTAAATTATTTCGAATGTGTACCCGACAACGACAACAAGCAGCAGCAGCAACCGATTTTTAAATAGTAAACAAGTAAAGTGTGAAGATGTTCAACATTGTAATTAATTTGGATGAGCATATTTTTGTGTGATAGGCCAATAAATGTTTATTTGAGGCGATGCCGTGACCAAACACGCACTTTTGAATCATTTGCGACTACGGAGCGTTGCCAATTACATTGTCAGAAACGAAAAAGTCGCACATTTTTCATTTTGAAATCGATGTTTAAGACAAATTGTTTCATTTTCGTCCACTGTTGCACACAAATTTCTAGTGAGAGGAAATCTAAACATTTGGCTATGTTTTAAAATTAACGGCACGTTTTTACAAACTAGTGAAATCTTTTTTTGCTCAATTAGCCGTCACTTCAGTTCACATTCATTACGATCATGTTCTTGTCGTCGCCGTCGTCATCATCGTTTTTGTAGCGAACGCATCCCATCGCACAGAAAAATAATAATGATGAATAATTTGCCACAGATGCAAAATCTTTGGTTGATTTTTCACTAGCGAAAAATGCTTTTCGATCAAATCCCAAAAATCAAATCCAATTATTCGGTTGAAGAGCCTGTCGGTTTCCATTTTATTCGCGAGAAGAGAGAGGGAGGGAGAGAGTGAAAAAAAACCACCCAGCAAATATAATTGAATTGCGTTGGTTCCTCTCTATGCTTCATTCGTTGCAACGATAAAACTTCGATTGTGTGGTTTTTAGTTGGATTGCATCGATACAAATCCATTAAAATAATCAAAGTGTGTGTCGCCAAACGGCACTGTACAAAGGACGTCCAGTGTAATCATTTTAATGCACCTCAACGAGATTCGGTCGGTCTCTTGCTCGCTTGTTCGTTCGTTCGTTCGTTTGTTCGCAGCTCTATTTGCTCACATGATCACCGGATTTCGAGTGCCGTTGAAAACGTTTCCATTTCGAAAATTCATTGCCCAATCAGAGAGTCACTCGAATTGAGAAGTGGAAAAAGCGAGAGATAGAGATGGAGATGCTCACTCACAATGGAAGTAGATGGACAAATAGATACAAAAGCTCGACAAACATTGATACAAGTGAAATAAACTGAACACTGTTACGAGCGACGAATTACGAGTATCGATGAAAAGTAAATCAATAGCACATACGGAATTGAATGCAACTCATTTCTTTGCTATTGCACTCCATATATATCCACGTACTTGCCGTATGTATAGCGACATTGCAGTTTCACTTTCAGAAACTGCATACGAAATTAAAAAAACAACAACCAGAAGCACATTGATTCAATTTCACTCTGGTAAATGGGGTGACTCGATTTTCTCTATCGACTCAAAAACAGATGTTGGACGATGCAAACGGTGTACTTGTTGGCTTGTGGGGGTGCTCGCACACATATACCAAACGTGAATTACTAACTTCGTTTTTCCGTTGCCGTTTTCCCTGGAATTCCAACGCTCACACCATCATTGTGTCAAATAAACGGCAACGAATCGAACAAAAAAAAAAAACAGCCAGCAACCTCTTCGCTCGCAGCCATTGCCACTTTATAGATTTTTTTTTACTTCGCCATGTGTCCGGCTCTAGGGGCGAATCACTACTGGATTTACTGAAAGAGTTGATGATACACACATCAATGCCGTAGAAATTTTCATTCGACAAAAATTGCCCGTAATTCTTGCCAATTGGAAGACTCACACAGATGTACAAGTACCAAATGATGAAGATTTCTTTGGTGAAATTTATGTTTTGGATCCACCTTCATTTGAATTTACGGAAGGAGATCGTATTCAAATTGTTGAAATTCGATTTTATTTTTTTTATTTTGATCGTCTTTTAATTTCAATATTATTTCTTCATTTTTTTTTTATCTTTTCGACAAAATGAAAATCACTGTTTTCTGATGTCAGAGTCTTTATGGCGTCTTCAGACTTTCCTAATTCAAATATAGACTGACTATATTTTTGCCGAATGGACTTTAATTCGGATGAAATACATTCAATTTTCATTTTGAAAGTTAGGAAATGAACATTAAACACAAGTGTCAAGACATTTCGACAATACTGAATTGCAATAAAAGTCAGGTACTGAATCGTAGGTACTGAAAAGTACTGAAAACCGGTTTTCAGTAATGGTTCGCCCCTTGGTCCGGCTCCGTTATGGACGGAAAATGAACATGGTTTTCTTTCGTAACGAGTTTATGCAGTAACAATGGCTCGACTTGACCACCCGAAAGTAGCAGAAAATATAGGATTGAGTTCAAAAGAATTATTCATTCTTGTCTACTGCACTTGCTATTTTTCACATTGTTTCCACCTAGCAATTAAAGTGCATGCGATCAATGGGAATGGAGACAGAGAGAGGGAGCGAGAGGGAGAGAAAAAGAAAGAACAAAAAAAATAACGCGGTCGTCGTGTGCATCGTAGTGTTTTTTTTTCATTTTAGCGCCGCAGAATTGACTTGGTTCTGCTCATTTGACTTGTATTAAGAAAGGCAATGCATCTTTATTAAACGAGCATTTGCGACGCTCACTGCTCGTTTCGCTCGTTGTACATACGTGCATATTCCACTTGCGGAGCCAAATTAAGCACAAAATAGCATAGAAAATCGTGAAAATCATGAAATCTCTATTAATAACTATTGTAATTAAAATGTGCGCGCCTCTTGGCAAGCGCTTTAATCGATATTCCGTGAATGAGCCGTTGAAATATCACCTCTCCCGTTCAAGCAATGCAATTATTATTATTATTAGGTAGCTCGTGTGAGTTTGAATGCAATGGCACCTGGGCAAAGAGAACATTTTCACACATCAGCGCATTGATTGGTTGTGCTCCTTTTTCTCTCGTTCGTTCACTCACTCACTCACTCACTCGCATCCACTCGATGCATTCGCCAATTTACATTGAAATGCCTGCGGTTCTTTAGCCGTTTTGTTGTTTTGAAAGAAAAAAAAAGCAGTAGCAACAAACAAACAAAAAACCGTACGTCATCGACCGCTTTTCTCGTTTTCACTTGTTTTCTGTTCTAAATCGCAACAAAACGTGGCAACGTGACTTGAACCGGTCCCAAGCATTGACATTATAATTCATTCAATCATTAACTTTTGCTGCGATGGTAGTAGCACCATTTTCGATTCAATGAACACAAAATGGTGCGATTATTCAATAAAATCTCACATCACGACAAATAAACAATGCCACGATAAATACACAACCATTGTTTTTTATCACTTTGATTGGATGTTATTCTTAAGCGTGATTGAATGTGTTTGTGTGGGTCTATATAGGACGTATAGCCATGCATGTGCATATACGTATCGTTATCTTCTTTCTCGTATCGTATTG